ATAGCAGCAAAAAGGAGAATGGTGGTTGGCAGGGCCCAGGGGAGGGGGAACTGGGGAGTTGCTGTTCAAGATGTATGAGGTTTCAGTTATGCAAGATGAAACAGTTCCAGAGATCTGCTGTACGACATGGTGCTTAGAGTTAACGGTTCTCTACTTCACAGATAAAACTTTGTTAAAAAGCGTACCGCTTGTGTTTTTTTTACCACAATAAAGCTTTTAAGAGTAATTTTCATGACGTGAAAAATATATGAAATTAAAACTGCATCCATACATAAAGCTTTACTGGAGCACGGACATGCCCATTCATTTTCCCGATAGCTGCTTTCAAGCCACAATGGCAGTAATGAGTAGTTGCAACTGAGACATGGGGCCTGCAGAGCCTAAATATTGACTATCCGACCCTTTACAGGAACAGTTTGTGCATACTTGCCCTAAACCACTATGTATGCTTCTCATTAATAATTTTATCTGTGTGGGGGAAAAAAAAGATGGACCTGACCCAAAAATACAAAGGCCTTGGCTGCAGGTCTGGATGCATGGCTTATTCGTTTGGGGACCTCACTTCCTTATCTGTAAAATGGGTATAATGTCCACTTGCGGAAGTTGCTGTGACGGTCAGCTGAGCTAAGATATTTCATAATACTAAGAGCGTATGTTCATTCATTACGAGTTGTCTGGAGCCCGAGGAGCCGCTGCCACCCACATGCGCTGCCTTGGCCTTGGAGGGAAGCCCGGTGCTGAGTGCCCACTCGAGGGAAACACGCTTTTGCCTGGGGCTGAGGCTGGCAGTCTCCGCAGACACTAGCTGCTCAGTCGGTGAAGCTTGTGGATGCCTGCAGGAATCACCTGGGGCTCAGAGGGTGCCTGCCAGAGGGAGCCAGATGCACCTCGGGGTCCCAGCTGTGGCTTCTCAGCCCTGTGGAGCTGCGCAGGCCAGAAGCTCCTGGGTAGAGCCTGACTCCTGGGCGCCAGATTCTGGAAAACACGCCTGCGCCTGCATGGCCCCCACTCGTCTCACCCTCCCGCTCGCAGCTCTGAATTTCAGAGTCCTTCCTCATGGCTCTCCCCAGGCACCCCAAACACAGTTTGCCCATATCTGTACTCGGCCTTTCGCCCAACCCAGGCCTACTCTGTACCCTTCCCTCAACTGTCCAAACCAGAGACCAGCAGGGGTGGGGTCACCTGCCCCTCCCACCCCCCACATCCACCCAGTGGCTGTGTCCTGGCTGCCACTGAGCGTCACTGGATGCCACCCCTGCCACCCTGGCCCAGGCCCCCAAGTCTCTCCCTTAGATACCTGGGTGTGACTGAAGCCCTGTGGCTGGAGGGATGGGCAGCTCTTGTTGGCCCGCCTGGCACTAACTGCCTGCCGGTGGAGCAGGGTGGCAGCTTTAGAGGCAGGTGTGTCATGTGGCATTGTGGAGCCAGCAGAGGTCGGGGAAGACTTAGCCAAGGAGTGGCCACTGAGGAGGACAGATAAGGAGGGGAGCTCTCAGACATGGAGAAAATCTGCCTCGCCACCAAGACGGTCCTGATTCTTACTTGAATGGTGACAGAGAGCTGGCTGTGCACAGGACACTGTGGCAAGAGCTTCACATCTATTAGAGCTTTAACCCTCCTGTCAGCCTCGAGAGGCAGGTACCGTAATCACGCCACACACACTTCCAAACATGAGACTCTGGGAGCCCCTGACCTACCCTCCTGGCTCTTATTCCTCCCCTGGCCTGAGCCATTCCCTGGAGGTAGCCAGTATCCTGGAGCTTCTTCCCACATGTACCTTTATTATTTCATCCCATATGCAGATGTCTCAAACAATGTACGATGCTGTGTGTGTGTCCTTAGACTTTTCATGAATGATACCATATACAAATCCTTCCACAACCTGCTTTTCTCACCCAATATAACGTTGTAAGATTTATCCATGTTTGATCCGTGTTCATCCACGTAGCTCTGTTCTTTTTCACCGCTTTGCAATCCCATTGTATATCTTCTCCTAGGAATGGAGGTTAATGGTAGCTTTATTTTTAAAAAAGTTTAATCACAGCCAAACAGGCATATAGTTCTAGGATGAAGTAGTGAAGATGAGTCTGTTATGAAGAGCAATGGTGGCTTCCCACCCCACCCCACTGGCGGGTGGCAGCAAGTGTCTACTACTGGCGGTTCCACCTCGTTCTCATGCCATTTCTTGATTTGACCCCTTCAGGCTCTGACTGTTGATGTCAGGGTACAGAGCTTTGCACCATTTTTAGATCCACCGTAAGTTACCTCTGTCATTTTAAGAACTTTTCTAATACCTTTAGATCATGTTCCAAAACTATAGCAGCAGCTCTTTGATTTATGTAACATGTATTATTTTTATGTAATACATTCTATAGAGCCCCCTTATAAAATTGTTTTTACTCCCCAAAATTAATCCATAAACAATATTCAAGGAGCAATATATAAAGTAGCAAGTAACTTTCTCTGCTTCTCTCCTCTTCCCAGTCTTCAATCAGCATTTTGATATCCTTCCAGATTTTTCCTTGATGCTCAAAAATATATGAGGTTAGAGTTTGGTTTCTCCTCTTCACCCTCCCTTTCCTTTGCCCCCACAAAAAAATAGAATGTTTCTAGGTTTGACTCTGTTGCTTGCTCTTAGCCTTAACCATGTGTCTTGGACAGCTTTACACATCCCTTTTTAATGTCTGCACAGCATTGCATAGTATGGAAGCAATGCCACCAGGTGTGTTGGCTCATGTCTTAATACCTACACTTTGGAAGGCTGAGGCAGGAGGACTGCTTGAGACCAGGAGTTGGAGATCAGCCTGGGCAGCCACTTGCTAGCTGTATCTACTTGGGCTAACCACTGTTAGATATTCAAGACTGTCTGTAGAGACCCTGTCTCTACAAAATAAGAATAAAAATGAAAAATCAGCTGGGTGTGGTGGCACATGCCTATAGTCCTAGCTACTCAGAAGGCTGAGGCAGGAGGATCACTTGAGCTGAGGACCTCAGGGTTACACTGAGCTATGATTGTGCCACTGTACTCCATGTCTCCTGAGCGACAGAGCAAGACCCTGTCTCTAATATGTACTTGTGTGTATAATATATATACATGTATACTATTAAACATATATCCTCCTGCTGGTCACTGCAATGTTTTTGTTTTATAAACAATATTGCAGTGGCCATCCTTGTGCATATGAATATAGTGGATGAGTGTACCTGAAAGAGTGTCTGTAGATGTATGAATACATCATAGTATACGTATATATGTTATTTACTAAATTCAGGAAGAGTTGTATGGGTGCTATGGCTCACGCCTGTAATCCCAGCACTTTGGGAGGCCAAGGTGGGAGGATCACTTGAGCCTGGGAGATGGAAACTGCAGTGAGCCATGATTTCACCACTGCACTCCAGTCTAGGCAATGGAGCAAGACCCTGACCAAAAAAAAAAAAAATTAAGAGTTTAGGCAAATCTCAACTTCTTAGCTGAGCTTTTAAAGCCTCCAGTTCTGGCTATTTACTTTTCCTCCAACTCTTCTCTCCTCTTGCCCAATATGTAAGTTCCTTATTTTCCTGGAGACATTACTGCATCCCCATCCCTTTTTTTTTTGTGCTGCTCCTTATATCATTTCTGCATTTTACCCTCTTTCCAAGGAACCAGTTGCCATCTGCCCTCTTTTCTATTTTTAGGACACATGGCAAGCACCTTCCTGCCTCAGAGCCCTGTTATCTCTGCCTGGAACTCTTCCCTGGATCAGTGATTCTCAATCCTGAATACCCATTAGAATCCCCTGGGGAGTTTTTTAAAAGTCTGATACCTGAGCCAAACTGTAGGCCAATCCAACCAGAGTCTCTGGGGGTGGGCCCAGGTATCAGTAAGCTTTCCAGGGGATTCCAGCAAAATCCAGTGACATATATCTTCCTATGCCCAGCTCCTTCTCATCATTCACGTCTCAACTCAAATGTCACCTCCTCAGAGAGGACCTCCCTGACTGCCCCAGCTAAAATATGCCCCTCACCTCAGCTCCCAGTTACTCTTTGTTACATCTCTCTGTTTTATTATATTTCCTTCATCTGTCACACCTTTTAACTACCTTGGTTCTTTATTTATACACGTGTCTGCTCCTGCCCCAGTGTAGGCACCCCAGGAACTTAGGGATATACCCACCCTGCATGACAGTGTCCCCAGAGCCTTGAAAAAACTTCAGACTTATGAGCCAAGACTCTGTAGTGCTGGGTCCAACATTTACTAGCTGTGTGCCATTGGGCAATTTACTTAGCTTCTCTGTGCCTTAATTTCCTGTTCTGGAAAATAAGGATTATCATCATACCTACTTTCTATAGTTATGTCAGAATTAAGTGAGCAAATACAGGTAAACACAGAACAGTCCTTGGCACATCATAAGCACTCAGTACTATTAGCTATTATTCTTTTAATATCTTTTTTTTTTTGAGTCAGCACCCAGGCTGGAGTGCAATCATGCAGTCTTGGCTCACTGCAGCTTCCACCTCCTGTGTTCAAGTGATTCTCCTGCCTCAGCCTTCTGAGTAGCTGGGCTACAGGTGCTCACCACCACGCCTGGCTAATTTTTGTATTTTTAGTAGAGATGGGGTTTCACCATATTGGCCAGGCTGGTCTCAAACTGACCTCAGGTGATCCACCCACCTCAGCCTCCCAAAGTGCTGGAATCACAGGTGTGAGCCATCCCACCCAGCCTATTCTTTTAATATCTATATTGAATGATATATTGCAATTCCTGCCCTGTTCTCCCTACCCACTTCTCTGCTTTATCTCCAATGAGCTTAGCACCATTTGCATCATTTGTCTGGCATTTCATTTATTTTACTTGCTTATTTCTTGTCTGTCTCCTCCCTAGACTGTCAGCTGCACAAGGGCAGAAATTGTTTTGTTCACTCTTGTGTCCCCAGTGCCTAGCATGGTGCCTGGCATATAGTGGACACCAGTATGAATACCTGGCTCCTCACCTGTTCTCCTTTCTCTCCTCACCCCCCAGGATTACCTCACAGACCTCATCACCAACGACAGTGTGAGCTTCTTCCGCACGTCCAAGAAGATGTACCCGCACAGGCCAGTCCTCATGGTCATCAGCCATGCAGCCCCCCACGGTCCTGAGGATTCAGCCCCACAATATTCACGCCTCTTCCCCAATGCATCTCAGCACATGTAAGCCTCAGCACTCTGCCTGCCAGAGGCACTGCTTAGCATGAAGGGGGAGGGTCAGGCTTTAGCAACAGTACTGTCACCACCGTGACTTCACTCTGCCTTCTCTCTAATCCTCCTGGTTGAAAGACCCCAAGAACATGCTGCTTGTCCACGGTGAAACTGGGATGCAACTCCAGACAGCCTGGCCGACAGACCAAGGCAGGAGAATTTTTAACTTGGGATACACGGCCTCCCACCAAGAGGTCTGTGGATGGAACTGTGTAGAATACGTTTCCATTTAATGCCATGTGTATTTTATTTAAGACATCTAAAAACATTCTTTTGAGTAAGGGGTCTATAGTTTTACCAGACTAATTTTTTGCCACCATTTATTGAGCCGTGGGCTATGTAGCAGGTGCTGTGCTAAGCCCTTCACATTGTGTCCAGTCCCTGAATACTCACAATGACCCTTGGTGTACCAGTTATCTATTGCCATGTGACAAATCATCCCAGAATCTAGCAGCTTAAAACAACAAACACAAATTATCTCATGGTGTCTGTGAGTCAGGAATCTGGGAGTGGCTCTTCTGAGCTCCTGGCCCAGGGTCTCCCGAAGTTGCAGTCAAGCTGTCAGCTGGGGCTGCAGTCACCTGAGGCTTGACTGGGGCTCAGTCCCATGGCTGGGCCTTGCCACATGAGCCTCTGTCTGTAGGATGTTAGAGTGTCCTCACAGCATGATAACTGGCCTTGCCCATGGCAGATGATCAGAGAGTGAGGCCAAGAAGGAAGCCGCAGTGTCTTTTACAACCTAATCTTGGAAGTGGCACCATCACTCTGCCACATTCTATTGGTCACACAGACCAGTCCTCCTACAACGTGGGAGAGTCTGCGCAGGAGTGTGAAGGCCAGGAAGTGGGGATCATCGAGGGCCATCTTGGAGGCTGCCTGTCACACTTGGTGTTCCCATTTTACAGATGAACAAACTGAGGCAGAGAGAGGTGAGGTAACTTACCTGAGGTCACCCAGCTCTAAGTGGCAGAGCCAGGATTCAAGTCCAGCCCCTACTTCTGCTTCCCATGCCTCTGCCCACCCCTGCAGGCCTCCATCCAGCTGGCTGGGAAACTTCCCGGAAAGTTCTCCTGCTTCTCTCTGCCTCAGACCACCCCCTGCTTAGTGGTAACTCAGCAGCCCTTGCTGTGACATTCTGGGGCCTCAAGGATGGGGCGGTTTGGAATCTGCCTGAATATTCAGGTTGTTTAGCTTCATTACAATCGGAATACATTGCCCTCCTCAAGCCCCTCCTGTGATTACTTTTTGACAGCCCTCGAAGCAGCTCAGAGAGGGTATGAAAGGCGCTGTTCACCTTCCCATCCCGGTCTCTGGGAAGGAGGCTTTGACAGATTATGATGAGCTGGGTCCCAGGGGCTGCAGCATTGCTTCTGTGCACATCTGTCTGGCTCCCCCTCCAAACCCAAGCCCACTCCTCTCCACCCAAGCAGGCCAGCCTCCCCCAGCAGCTGGCACCCTGCCCCATCCCCACTTAGAACTCATCCCTGCAGGGGATGGAGGCCACTCAGCCCTGTCTAAGGGAGAAGCCGTGGGTGGGGGAAGGGACGCTTTGCTTTGGCAGCATCTCTAAAAGAGGTGCCAGCTTCACCCCAAGCAGCAGCGAGCGGCGCCGGAATTTTGTGGTGGAATTGTTTGACATCGCCTGTTGGTTTATTTTCCCTTTGAAATGAAAATTACAGAAACTGAAAACGAGCACTGTCTGCTCTTATGTGGAGAGACCCCCTTTGCCTTCTCAGGGGCATGTTTGGAAGGCTCTGTTATCTCTGGGGTATAATCATTTCCAGAAGAAACCAAAAAAAGAGAAAGTTCTGCAACTAGGATGTTTAATGATGACAGTCAAGACGGGGTGGGCGGGGGACAGAGCCGGGGCACAAGGTTAGAGCACTGGATCTTTCTGTCAGGGGTCTCCTATCCCATCTCTCCCCTAGAAAGCTGGCACATGCCCTGTCCTGGCACAGGCCTTATGGATTCTGTCAAAAGTTGGTAGGTGGTGGTACCATCCACCCCACAGACCCCAGGGCCCTGCACCCTCCCCATGCACCCTCACACACAGTCACATACATACGGACACACACAAAGACATGCAAATACACACAAGCACACAGAGGCATACCACACAAGCAGACACACATGCAATCAAACACATGCAGTCCTGGGCAACTTAGTGAGACTCTCTCTCTACAGAAAATTTAAAATCAGCCAGGGGTGGTGGTGCACACTTGTAGTCCCAGCTACTGGAAAGGCTGAGGTGGAGGGATCGGTTGAGCCTGAGAGGTCAAGGCTGCAGTGAGCTATGATTGCGCCAGTGCACTCCAGCCTGAGTGACAGAGTGAGACCCTGTCTCTTAAAAAAAAAAAAAAGAAACATACACACATGCAGACACACACAGAAATACACAGTTACAGACACACACACAGACATACACACGTGCAAACGCAGACATAGGCAGAAATACAAAGATACACACAGGCAGGCCCGCAGACACAGCCCACCAGCCCTCAGAGCTTCCCTGCGAAGGGCGCTGATTGTGGCTTCGAGGGCTTTGGGGCGAGGGGTGTCGGGGCTGCTGCTGAAGGCCGCAGACACACAGTGGAGGGGCTGTGAGGACACCACCATCTTTCACCGTTTCCCCAGCAGAAGGGAAGGGGATGCTCTCCTTCATGCCCTTTCGTGAATGCACCAGACATTCCTGAGATGCTGGAGGAGGTGAAGTTTTCAGATCTTTGTTGAACGGGCAGCTGAGCCCATGGGAAGAGGCCGACATCCTCCCTTGTGGAGCCTGGCTTGACACAGGCGACCGGCAAGCTGGCGTTGACCCCAAGCTCCACCCGGCTTTGCTGCCTTCTGGCCTCAGTGTCCTTCTCCAAAAGCTCTGTCTCAGAGCTGGGGCTGCAGAAATCGTCATCCTCTGAACAAACTCACCCCTCACTGTTCTCAAGGGCTGGCATCAGCCTGACTTCTCTTGGATTCAGGGATGATTGCTGAAAATTGCATTCTGGAATCCAGGCCCTTGGGCCTGCGGGACCAATTTTCCCACACGCTGGGCTGTATGGGACAGAGAACATCTCTGTCCATCTGCTGCCCCCAGCAGCCTCCTTTCAGTTCCTTGGTGGGACAGATCTGAGAGGGGAGCTGAGCTCGTTCCTGGGAACGTTCTACATGGCAGTCAGGCCCTGAGACGGCAGAGCCAGCCCGCAGAGGAGCCTGGCCGTTCTGTAATGAAAGGAACGTGGGCCCTGATGGATTTAGTGGCGGGAGGCTGCAGATCAGCCAGGGGCTCAGAAAACCGAGTCCAGGGGAGCCTTGGAGACAGTGACTCACCTCCCTCCTTACATAGCAACAGTGTCCACAGCTGCCAAGCTACCCCAGCGGCAGCGTCACAATGTCTGCCTGGGACGATCACGATATTTGAGACGCTGCTGAAGTCCCGACGAACCAGGTCGGAGGGAGACATGTCTGTGTCCCTCTGAGCAGGCTCGTTTTTCCTCTTCTTCTTCACGGGAGCTCCTTGCCCCCGGAACACCCACTGTGAAAAGCGGTGGAAACTCAACCTTTACTTCAGCCTTGACTGAGAAGGGGAGCCAGATTTGCAGGGAACCTGGCCTTCAAGAACCGTCAGACCCAGGGCGAGGAAGCCCACTTTTTGTGAGGCCTTAAACAGTGCTTCCTGTCAGTGGTGCACCCCACCCAGGAGACCCCCACATGCTGCGGTTTTCAGTAGCTCAGATCCGGGGGCCCGGCATAAACCGAGGTGACAAGGAGGTGCTTTTGGTTTGCTCACAGTGATTCCTCTGGTTTTGGTTTAATCTTCCATTGACTAACCAGGAAGCAGAGAGGGTCAGAGAAGTTCGGGGACCTGCCCGCTGTCTCACGGAGTGAGTGACAGACCCAGTGTACCTGACTTCTGCCGTGGAGTCACCTGTGATTACTAATGACAAAGGGATACACCAGTGATAACCTCTCGCGAGCAGTCATCACGCACTGGCCACGGTTAGAAGGGCTCCCCTTACAGCCTCTCCCTCAGGGCTCACAGCCATCCTGGGAACTGGCACTGTCTATATTCTCCTTGGGTAGGAAGTGAGGGAACTGATGCCTTGGGAGGGAACTAACTGGCCAAAGACAGAACTGGGGTTCAAACCCCAGCAGCTGGTATGGGCCACCACTGCTGTGATATCATCATAGATACCTGCCTGGGGTCCCTCCATCCCTCATGTCACAGGTGCTCAGACAGAACTTTGCCCCACACACTCCTGCTGCAAGATTAAGCAGCATGCCAGGCGCAGTGGTTCATGCTTGTAATGCCAAAACTTTGGGAGGCCGAGGAGGGTGGATCACCTGAGGTCAGGAGTTAAAGACCAGCCTGGCCAACATGGCAAAACGCCTTCTGTGCTAAAACTATAAGAATTAGCCAGGTGTGGTGGCACATGCCTGTAGTGCCAGCTACTGAAGAGGCTGAGGCAGGAGAATCACTTGAACCCAGGAAGCGAAGGCTTCAGTGAGCTGAGATCCCACCACCGCACTCCAGCCTGGACGACAGCGAGACTCCATTTCAAAAAAAAAAGAGGCGGGCGCGGTGGCTCACGCCTATAATCCCAGCACTTTGGGAGGCCGAGACAGTCAGATCACGAGGTCAGGAGATGAGACCATCCTGGCTAACACAGTGAAACCCCATTTCTACTAAAAATACAAAAACATTAGTCAGGCGTGGTGGCGGGCGCCTGTAGTCCCAGCTACTTGGGAGGCTGAGGCGGGAGAATCGCTTGAACCAGGAGGTAGAGGTTGCAGTGAGCTGAGATCACGCCACTGCACTCCAGCCTGAGCGACAGAGCGAGACTCCGTCTCAAAAAGTAAAAGAAGAGAATGTGGCGTGTCCCAAATGTACACATTCAGGTGCCTTCCTCACAATTCTGGCCTTACACATATAACTATAACTTATTTAATTTTTAAATCAATTTCTATTACTTCAAACTAAAATCTATTGCAAACGGATATTCTGTGGTCCTACCTTAACCACAATAACTGCCACCTGCCATTCCCCAAAGGTAACTGCCATCTACCAAAAATAGGTCCAAGGCACACAAAGCAATGTTACGGAATTCGAGTTGGGTGCTGGTTCCTGATGAAGGCTCTGAACTCGACTGTCTTCCCTTTTTTTCAAAAGGGAGATGAGCAAAGTCTAGAGAGGTGTTAAAGAAACACTAGCACCAAACTGAGACTTTGCCCTGAGAGAACCGACAGGGGACTGGCTGTCTCACTTTGTCGCTCAAGATCACTGAATGCTGTGCCTCTTAGGAGCTTCCCACAGGCACACTTCACATGTGCAGAAACGCTGAAACAGGGTTTGGATAAGCCCCTGACATGCCAATGTCCCCTTTCCCACCAGGGCAGCACAGCTGGCCCTGGGCTGCAGACACAGCACAGGGTGGCTGCTGACCCGGGCGGATCTGATAGGGGCCAGGCTGGGTCCAGGCTGTCCCTGGCTTTGACTGATGCGTATGTCCTTGCCCACCAGCACGCCAAGCTACAACTACGCGCCCAACCCGGACAAACACTGGATCATGCGCTACACGGGGCCCATGAAGCCCATCCACATGGAATTCACCAACATACTCCAGCGGAAGCGCTTGCAGACCCTCATGTCGGTGGACGACTCCATGGAGACGGTAGGCGCCCACTGCATGCCTCTTGGTGGGCGTGGCTCTGAACCCCCAGCCAGGCCAGGGCCAGAACCTCCTGGCCCTTCAGGGTTTTCCTGGAGGAATGGAAATCAAAGGCAGAATGAAGAGACCGCATGCTAGACCTGGGGAGCAGCTTGGAGCGATCCAGACAAAAGCCTCTTCCTTCACGAAACATATTCTAGATCCGTGCTGCCCAGTACGGTAACCATGTATGCTAGTTATATTTTTTTCCTGCTATTTACATTTTTGAATACCTTTATTGGGATGTAATTCACATACCATACAATTCCTCCCATTAAAGTGTGCAATTCTGTGGTTTTAATACACCCAGAGTTGTATAACCATCACCACATCCATGTGAGGACATTTTTCTTACCCCAGAAAGAAACCTCACAGCCCTTAGTCACCACCCACTAAATCTCCCTCACCCCCAGCCCCAGACAACTGATGATCTCTTTTCTGTCTCTATAGATTTGGTGTTCTGCACATTTCCTATAAATGGAAGCGTACACGCTGAGGCCTCTGTGCCCGGTGCCTTTCTTTCACTTAGCGCCATGTGTTCCAGCTTCACCCCTGGTATCCCATGAATCCGTTCCCCTCATTCCCTGTTATTGCTGAATAGTACCCCGTTGTATGGGTATTGTCACATTTTATTTAGCCATGGCTATTTAAACTGAATACAGTAACATTATAAAGTCAGTTCTTCTGTCACACAAGCCTCATTTCACGTGCTCAGTAGGTTCGTGCATCTGGAGGCCACCGTATCGGACAATGCAGACATTTACACGGCCACCAATGCAGAAAGTTCTGCCACACGGCGCCCTTCCAGATGGCAAGCTCCTGCCACAGGCTGCAGCCCAAGTTTCACTCATTTCATTCATTCACCCGATAGCATTTATTGAGTGCCAGTGTACGTGAAATACAGCAAGCAGGGAACAAAATGACAAAAGTTTCTGCCCTAATGGAGGCAGCATGGCATGCCAAGGCAGGGACACAGACGATCCACAGATAAGCAAAAGAGATGGAGGCTGAGAAGGGCTGCGAAGAACCGTGGAGGAGAGGGCGGGCCAGGGAGTGACGGGAGGCAGGAAGGTGCAGTGACAAAGGGGACAGCCCCTGGGAACGTTAAGCGAAGACCTGAAGCAGGGGAAAGATGGGAACTGAGATCTCAAGCCCCTGCGACGCCAGGTCGGAGACGGGCCAGGCACCCGGTCCCCACTGCCCCTTGCCTCCTCGCCTGTGTTGCAGATTTACAACATGCTGGTTGAGACGGGCGAGCTGGACAACACGTACATCGTGTACACTGCCGACCACGGCTACCACATCGGCCAGTTTGGCCTGGTCAAAGGGAAATCCATGCCGTACGAGTTTGACATCAGGGTCCCGTTCTATGTGAGGGGCCCCAACGTGGAAGCTGGCTCTCTGTAAGTATGTCATCCCCCCAGGGATCCAGGGGGCCCCTGGGCCCAGCTCAGGGCTGCAACCGTGCAGCCCAAACCCAAGCCACACCCTGGGTGGCACACAGTTCTGACAGATGAACCCCAGGGCCAACGGAAAGCAATTATGTCATGCATTTTATACCCCTCTGCTGGGGAAGGAGAGGCCAGGGCCGTGAGCACCTGTGGAAACAGATTGTTTGTGGTGTGGCTGTATGCCAGGAAATCCAGGGAGCTGGGCTGTATACATGTGTGCGCGCACACGCGTGTCACCAGCAGGTGGGAATGGCGCTTGGATTTCTGTTCTGGGCTGGGCAGCCATTGGGCCTGGAGGTTGTCAGGGAGGAATCCCGGACCTCAGCACAGGCAGCTGGTTGTCAGCTGGGATCAGCTGAGCCAGCTCCGGGCAGCAGCACGAAGGGAAATGCTTTTCCCCTCCCATCCTTCCTGGAGGACCACGTGGGCCGCAGCCCTCAGCCAGCAATTCTCCTTGGGTTCACCTTTGAGATGACACGTCCTGGCAGCAAACATGCTGTGTCTGGGGCAGGGGAGCGGACAGGCCGCTGTTCATGGCAGCAGCCTCCTTGGATCGGCTGGGATATTATGGAGACCGGCTCAAATGGGGTTTTTGAAAAGCAGATGTGTTGCTATTAAGACTGTCATTGGGTCTGACTTCTGCCCATGCGCAGATGTGGGAACACACACCCAGCACTCACACGGGGCTGGCTGCAGAATTCCTTCAGAAGAGGCATTGACAGTGCAGTGTGGAATTCCAGACTGACATGTTCCCACTGCCTTGGACATTTTGCGAGAATTCCAGGAGGCAGGCTGCGTGAGTTCAAGGCCAGAGAAAGTGATGACTGTCTGTTGACCTTATCAGATCATGCCCGTCTTTGGCTCTCAGCACCCCCCCCTCCCCGGAATAAGAGCTGTAATAACGAAAGCCCACGCGTATGGAGTATCTGCTCTTCAGGGCCTGGTCTAAGAACTACATAAGGATTCACTGCAGGCCGGGCCCTGTGGCTCACGCCTGTAATCCCAGCACTTTGGGAGGCCCAGGTGGGCGGATCATTTGAGGTTGAGAGTTCGAGACCAGCCTGGCCAACTTGGTGAAACCCTACCTCTACTAAAAATACAAAAATTAGCTGGACATGGTGGCCTACACCTGTAATCCCAGCACCCAGGAGGCTGAGGCAGGAGAATTGCTTGAACCCGGGAGGCGGAGGTTGCAGTGAGCCAAGATCATGCCACTGCACTCCAGGCTGGGCGACAGTGAGACTCCATCTCAAAAAAAATTAATAATAATTCATTGCAGCATCACAACAGCCCTGTGATGTGGATGCATATAGTGGCCCCGTTTTACACCCAAGGCCACTGAGGCACAGAGAGGTTAAGTTGCCTGAGGTGACAGAGCAAGTAAGGGAAGGGGCTGGGGCTTGAAGCCAGGCAGTGTCTATTCCCATGTGCCACACCTCTCAGAAACCTCGAACCATCCCTGAGAACAGAAAGCATCTGACCCACTGAGGGCTCTACAAACACTGACACTGGGGGTTTGGTCAGCCTTGGCATCTGTGATCTGACTCATAGGACCCAAAACCACATCCCACATGGTCAAGAAAAAGAGAGTGCTCATGTCAGGTTTGGGACCAAAGACACACAGTATCTGTCAGCCAGGACTCCTTTGGTTGCAAGCAGAAACGACCTTTGAACCAGATAAAGCATATAAGATAAAAAAGAACGCAGTAACTATAGTTGCTGAAAAATCCATGCACAGCTCCAGCCTCAGGCATGGCTGGATCCAGCAGTCTTACAATGCCACTGGGAAGCTCTCATTTCTTAACTCTCAATCCCACTTCCGCTGAATTGGCTTCATTCTCAGGCGGGTTTTTCTCCTTATGGCAGAGTCAGCAGCTGCAGATTTTCAGCCATCCTGTTTAGGAAACCAAACTGCTTTGAACAGAAGACCTGAGGCTGACTCCCACTGGCCTGACTGAGGTCACGTGTCCTTCCCTGAACCAATCACTGTAGCCAGAGGTGACAGAAACTGTTGAGTGACCAGGCTGAGTGCATTGGGCAGTGGGCTCTGAATGGGGTCAGGTAGTTCCTACAGGATGAGAAGCTGCGACAGAGCAAGGCATGGGTGCTGGCCAGGAAAAGTGACTGCTGTCCTCCTTCCCCTGAGCCTGGGGGAGCAGGACCACTGGACAAGCTCAGCCCCGTCAGCTGCTGGTTGCTGGTTTGGGCAGAGTGCCCGTCGCTCAGCAGTTTTCCCAGCTCCCTCGCCTCTGGATTCAGTTGTAGCACCTCACACTTCGAGCCCCCCATGACACAGCTTTAGCCCATCTTCCCCAGTTGCACACATGCTTGGCAGCCTGCCCGATGTTCACAGGGCACTGGAATGGAGAGAAATGGGGGGTTAAAGATGACAGAAACCCCAGGACCCAGGCCCTGCCCTGGTCCCCAGGGGACTAGCAGGGAAGGCACTCAGGCGCTTTGACGGGTCTCTCCACCATTCAACAGGTCCTGGGGCCTGTGCTGTGCACACCCCTCAAGTCCCTTACCCTACATTGGGAATGTCAGCCAGAAACAGGAGCCAGGAGAGGTGGCTCATGCCTGTAATCCAGCATTTTGGGAGGCCGAGGTGGACGTATCACCTGAGGTCAGGAGCTCGAGAGTAGCCTGGCCAACGTGGTGAAACCCCGCCTCTACTAAAAGTACAAAAATTATGGGTGTGGTGGCACATGCCTGTAATCCCAGCTATTCGGGAGGCTGAGGTATGAGAATCGCTTGAACCCGGGAGGTACAGGTTGCAGTGAGCCGAGATCGTGCCACCACACTGCAGCCTGGGTGACAGAGCAAGACACCTCTCAAAAAAAAAAAAAAAGAAACAGGAGCCGGGAAAGGTGGCAGATGTATGGAACTCACTTAGCCAGTATTTACTGAGTAGCTACTGTGTGTTCTAAGGGTGTAAGTCCTGGAGATACAGAAGTGACCACCTGAGCCAGCCTTCCTGCAGCTTAGAGTCTACCTGGGCAATAGACAATAAGCCAGAGAAATAAGTAAGATATATAGCATATGAGACGGTGATGGGTCTTCAGGAGAAAGATGAAGCAGGGAGGGCAGGGAGGGGCGCAATTCCAAGTAGGGTCCTCAGGAGGGCCTTGTGTTGGGTATCTGTGCTGCAGAACAAACTGCCACAAACTCAGCAGCTTAAGACAACACATGTACAAACTCACGGTGTCTGAGGGTCAGAAGCCGGGACCCAGCCCTGCAGGGTCGTCTGCTTAGGCTGAAATCAAGGTGCCGGCCAGGGCTGCGGTCTCATCCAGAGGCGTGACTGGGGAGCACTCGCGTCCCTGCTCACGGGGCAGGTCAAATGCAAGCAGAGGACTTGAACCCATGCAGTCTGTCTCCCAAACTGCTCACCGTCCAGCTGCTGATTTAGAGGGGCTTGCTTCTTCAAAGTCAGCAAGGGGAGAAAGAGAGACCAGAGCAACACCACTAGCAGGATAGAGTTGACTATCTCATAACACAACCACGGGAGTGACAGCCCATCACCTTCACGTGCCGCTGGTTGGCAGCAGGTCCGGGTTGGTTCCCCAGGGACAGGGATCCCGGGGATCACTGAGGCCTGTCACGGGCCTCCTTGGTAATAGAGCAAAGAACTAAAGGGGTGAGGGACGGTGGCCCCTGATCTCCAGGGAAAGGACATTCCAGGCAGAGGGGACAGTAAAGAAGAAGGCCCTGAGGCTGGACTGTGCCTGGGCTGTCAAGGAACAGCAAGGAGCCAGTGTTTGCCCCAGAGATCCAGGGAAAGGGCTCGGGAAGGGCCAGGATTTGGGCTGGCTGTAAAGGCAGGTCGCCTTCACTCAGGAAGCAGGGACAGGGTGGGGCTGTCAGCTCACCGCATGGCATGTCTGAGACGCAGAAGCTAAGTGGGGGGCGAGCGCAGAGTGGGGATTTGGCTGAATCTGGGCCGCAGAGGGGAGAGCTGCTGAGGTTGAGGTGCCAGACTGCAGCTTCCATACCTGCAGATGTCAGCCCCCCACAAACTGCTGCCCACCTACCACCGCCCACCCCTCGAGCGAGGCTGAGGCACCACCACCCGAGTGGCTGAGTCCCCGATCTCCTGCCTCCCCCAGGAATCCCCACATCGTCCTCAACATTGACCTGGCCCCCACCATCCTGGACATCGCAGGCCTGGACATACCCGCGGACATGGACGGGAAATCCATCCTCAAGCTGCTGGACACGGAGCGGCCGGTGAATCGGTGAGGAAGGAGCAGGGCAGGTGCGGGGGGCTGGGACACTGGGCTCCTGACCTGCAGGAACTCAGAGCAAAACCCTGTGGGTCTAGAACATGGGGTCTCCAAGGGTTGGGAGCTGGGGTTCTCAGGTCCCCCCAACCGCTTAGCTGCTGTGGGAGAGAAGCGTTCCCCTCTCTGAGATTCTGTCTTCCCATCTGGAATGTGGCCAAGGTGACCAGTTGGGGACCTTCTCTGAACTAAAATTACACAAAGCTTGAAATGGTAGCAGCAGTGATCGTAGGAGTTGGTGCTAACTGCACAGCGATTGTGTGTGAGGCCCTGTTCTAAGTACTGTGCAGGGGATTCTAGGAGTTTGATTCTCACAGTAACCCAGCGAGGTGACGTTATCATCATCCCCATTTTGCCAGTTTGGAATCTGAATCCCAAAGCGATTGAGTGACTTGTCAGAGGTATCCCAGCAAGTCTGGATGTAGCTCTGGGAATTCAGATGCTGACTTACCACACCCCATAACTTTAATGCTGGAGGGTGTGATGGGAACATATTCCAGGTGTCAGAGTAGGAACCGTGAGGGTGAGCAAGTCAGACAGGTGGGAGGTGGGCTGAGTCAGGGCGGGGAGGCTGGTGTGGCCACAGCGACATCTGGTGGCCAGCACTCTAATAGCCACCAGGTTCCTGGCCTCCAGGTGCTACTTCAACTCCTGGCTTGTACCTCCAGCAGCGGAGCCCTTCCTCTGTGGTCTCCCAGAGGCTCCAGCCAGGCGAGCACTGTGTGCCCACATCTGGCTGCCCTGTAGGGGGACCGTGTCCATTGAGGCTCCTCCTCTGACTGTGAGGCCAGGCAAGCTGTAATGGTATAAAATGGACATGTTTGGGGACACTGGCCTGGGAGTCAGGACACCTGGGGGACAGGGGACAGGGTGGAGGCTTCTCCTCTCAGCTTCAGAGTCCCCATCTAGGAAATGGAAATGACCAGGTGGCACTGGATGAAACCCACAAATTACATACATGCAACTGCAAAGCACCAAAGAAGAAAATACCCCCACAACCCAATAAAATGAACCCGACATCAAGACAATCACTGCGCCTGACGGTGAGCTCAACACAGAGCTCAAGACGCTGAACCACTGCGCCTGACGCTGAGCTCGAGACCCTGAACCGCTGCGCCTGACGCTGAGCTCGAGACCCTGAACCACTGCGCCTGACGCTGAGCTCGAGACAGAGCTCTTCCAGCTCCGGGAGTTGTTGGGCTTCCTGCAGGGGCGTGAGATGTGCGCGCGCGCACACAGTTACTTGGGTGGGACTTGCAGTGACTTTGAGCTGGGTCATTTCTGCCCTGTGTGCCTCCAGACCCGAGTCTCTGGGGAAGGGGTGGCTCAACTCAGGAGGGTGAGCAAGGCTCTCCAGTGCCCGGCTGGGCGCGCTCGCCACAATTGCTGTCCAGGCTGACTGTAAACCAAGGCTGACTCCTGGTGCCATCCCTGCTCCTGGGGAAATAGGGGGTCGTGGGAAGCCCTCACGTTGTTGAGAAGCAGGATCCGTGCTTTTTTCCAGGTTTCACTTGAAAAAGAAGATGAGGGTCTGGCGGGACTCTTTCCTGGTGGAGAGAGGGTGAGTGCCGGGTCCTGGCAGGGACACCCCTGCCCACCTCCCTCCCTCTCCGCCCAGGGCAGCAGGGAGAATCGGGCTATGATGGTGCCTTCCAACAGTGGCTCTGAAGTTGTGTCCAAAGGCCCCTAAACACAGAGCCCATTCACTGCTCCTATAGACGACACAGAATTGGGGTCTGAGGTCGCGCATACCCTTTTGGCATGTTTTGTCCAGCCTCTACAATGTCTTCAATTTATTTAAGTTATTGCCAACTCATGCGATTTGGGAAGTTTCTTATAAAATGCCAATCTTAAGTTTCCTAAACATCAGGAGACCCGGGCAGGGTGGCCCTGCGTCCTCCACTGTGAGGATAAGCCAAAGCCGAGGGGGCACCCCTCTAGGTGGGCACACGTGCCTCCGGGGCTCCTCCAGAGCTGAGAGGCCGGCCCTGCGGCTCCTTCTCTCTGCCCCACAGCAAACTGCTACACAAGAGAGACAATGACAAGGTGGACGCCCAGGAGGAGAACTTTCTGCCCAAGTACCAGCGTGTGAAGGACCTGTGTCAGCGCGCTGAGTACCAGACGGCGTGTGAGCAGCTGGGACAGGTAAGAAGGCTCCCTTCCCTCCCAACCGCTCCCCATCCTGACTGCAGCCAGCCCTGACCTGTGCGGCCCTGAGAGCCGCTGAGCCAGCAGGGCCAGGGCCTCCCAACGGGTAGCCCTTTGCTGTCGTGTGATGCCCAAGATGCAGTTGGGTGATGCAGGGTGATGCTCATGATAAGTGATTGATTTCTCAGCAGCCTTTGGACCCTGACCGTGTCAGAGGCCAAGTGTCCCATGAGTATGCTGTGTGCCCTTAGCACCTCTCTAGCCCTTGCCAACCCCTCTCGCACCGAGGCCCCCGCCGGAGTTAAATTAGTTTATTTTCACCGTGTTCGCTTTGACAGTATTGTCTTTGTGACTGGTTTTCCTTTTACAGGAGTAATAAGACATGGCTTTTTAAAATAAATATATGTAAGTTTTTAAAAAGTGAATTGGTTGCAAGAGAAATATTAAGGAAATTATGGCCAGGAACAGTCAGTGGCTCATGCCTGTGGTCCCAGCTACTCCAGAGCTGAGGCGGGAAGATGGCTTGAGCCCACATGTTGGAGGCTGCAGTGAGCTGTGATTGCGCCACTGCACTCCAGCTTGGGTGACAGAATAAGACCCTGTCTCTAAAAACGTAAGAAAAAAAATAATCTGGGAAGTATTCAGAGGTAGCAGAAACTGACATGCTGGGAAAGCCTAAATGAGGCTTTTCTGAGGCTGGAAGGCCAGGGCAGGCTTGGAGAAGGAGGGTCAGGGAAGGGGCAACCCCAGCCAGGCAGGGTGGAGAGGGCAGTGGACATGGTGAAGCTCTGCCTTGGCTGGCCCAACGGGTGCCGGAGGTGTGTCCCTGTCTTGCCCGTCAAAGACTGGGACTTTGGGCTGGGGCTGGAGTTGCGTGCCTGTTCACCAGTGAGAAAAAGCAAAACCAGGGCCCTGGTATTGAAGGCCAAGGCCGGAGGTGGATGGGTTTCTGATGGACTGCGTTTGAATGACTCCATCTTATCAATGTACATAGAATTAGTACAGGCTCATACAGGCCTGACTGTGCCTCCTCACCCAGTGTGTGTAAACCACAGACCCCACTTAGTCACGGAATTAACCCGCATCTGCCACCAGGCAGGTGCTGTGGATTTCATCCCTCCGTTGTACAGCATGAATGCGTACCTCTGCTTGCCAGGCGCTGTCCTGGCGCAGGGCTACAGCCTTGAATATGCTCAACAGAAACTCCTGCCCTCCCAGAGCTGCCGTTCTGGAGAGAGTTCAGCCTTGACTTTGTACCAAGATCCCAGAAGGGGTTCTGATGTTAGTTCTGGGCTAAAAGAAATGAAATGAGGAGGCCAGGAAGCCTTTGCCCCCACCGCCCCCCCGGCCAGGGAACGCTTTCAAGTCCCCCACTGGTTCTTTCTGCATGTCTCCCCTGACCCAGATCAGCGCTTGGGCAGCCAAAATGACCTCTTTGCTGGGGCCAAGAAAGAGGAGGTAGCAGCATTTTCCAAACATCAGAGCGCACCACTGAAACCAAAGGAAGAGAGTGTGAGGGCGTGGTTTGGGGCACATAGCCTAGGCCAGCTGGGAGGCAGCAGCCCATGTGCCCGGACCCAGCCCCGGGGCTGTGGGGATCCCAGGCCCAGACCTCTGCCCATCATCTCAGGCAACGGCCCTGCTCACAAGCCCGCACTCCCCGGGTGCCGTTGCCACGTCTCTGCTTGTGCCGTGCTTCTGGAACGCCCTGCCCAGTGTAGAAGCTGTACCCTGTGGCCCGAGGACGTCTCTTAGGGGGCCTCACGCCCAGCCATAGCATTGCCTTGGGTACGTTTTCTGTGCTACCCCACGTGCTAGATGTTCGTTTGTCCTTCGCTGAACAAACATTCCCGGGAACCAAGCTCTTGTGCATCTGCCTGTCTCCCGGTGACACGGGGACACTAAGGGCAGGGCCCGGCTGGAATTCATGTCATCATTCCTAAAGCCCAGATCAGGGCCTGGCCCGGGCAGGAGTAAATGTGCCCTGGACACCTCGTAATGACGACCATCACAGGCAACACTGAGTGTGAGCTCTGCCTCCAGCCACCCTATCTGGCAGGTATGTTCTCTACACGGGGGAAACCGAGGCCCAGGGCTTAGACAGCCTACCCACAGCCTCACAGCTTCAAGTGGTGGAGCCAGGATTTGAACCCAGGTAGTCAGGTTGCAAGACCTTTGTTCTCAGCAGCTGTAGGGACCCAGAGTCAAGCCGACACTGGCCCAGCCCTGTGGGGCTCACGCACTACCCCCGCCAGGAGAGCCTCGGGACAGGGCATGCGGACACGGCTTCTCCATGAGTAGTGCAGGAGCAGCAAACACTTTCCGCACAAGGTCAGACAGTAAATAGTTTGCGGTTTGCAGGCCACACGTTTGTTTTTGTTCTTGCTTTTCACAACTCTAAAAATGTACAACGTAAAAACTGTTCTTGGTTGGCAGGCCATACAAAAACAGGCCGTGGGCTGGAGTTGACTAGAAAGAGGGCTGCAGTTTGCCGACCCCTCAAGTCGTGCCCCGGCTGAGTTTGTCGGGTTGGAAGGGAGAGCAGGCAGTGGGGAAGGAGAATTCCAGGCAGAAAGAGCTAAGTGGACGGAGGCTGCTTGCCAGTGTGCACAACTCAGGGCTTCACGCAGAAGTCAGAGCCCTGGCTTTTCTTGAAAAATCAGACCTGGACCTCTGGGCCTGTGCCGCCCTCTGGCGACAGTCAGATGGGTATAGCCAGTCACAGTGCCCACTTTAGCGTCCCCAGGTCCCCCAGTCCCTTCTGGGCCGGCCTCATTCAGGGCCATGCCTGCTGGCCCATCAGTCTCCTTCTGCACTAAGGAATCCAAGTTGCTGGAAGGGCCTGCATGCGTTGAAGGGGGTGGGAGGGTGGCAGGGCGCTGCGAATGCAATCAGTCAGCCTCTAGGTGAGAACAGACGGGGGGGACGCGGACAAGATGAGCAGGTGAAAGGCAGCAGGGCCTTTAGCGGTGGCGGGGGGTGGGCTGTGTAGCAGAGGGTTGGGGGGGATGGTAGCACCAGATTCCACACTTTTCCTTACAGCTCTTGCACCTCCCAGTTGTGTGACCCAGGACGCATCTCTCTACCTCTGCGTGTCTCATATTGAAGCAGCACAGTAATGACAGCACCTGCCTCGTACGGTAGTGGGAGGTGTAGTAAGCAAGTTAATATTAACACACGGTGCTTGGCACATGCTATGTGCTGTGCTGGAGAGACACAAGGGAACAGATCTGATCCGTGGCCTGGAAAGGTCACTTTGGCACAGAATAGGCCCTAAAGAGTCACTGGGTCAAGGGGCTGGAGCAGGTGTGGACAGAAGGGAAGAGAATCCAGTTTACAGGTGGTTGCAGAATCCCACGAGGGGATCCAGGAGGCTGGACCTGGGGAAGGGAAGAGGGATCAACACGAGAGATTTGGACGGTGATTCTGTCTACATTCAGCTTCTGAGCACAGGCCTGGAGTTGAATGCACACGGGGAACCTCCGCACACAGCACTGACTGAGTCTGGGAAGGTGGTCGGGGAGACTCCTTTCGCTGGAGCAGAGACGGGAAGGAAGAGAAGGTTCCAGCAGCAGGAAGGGCTGGGGGAAAAGGCTTTCTAGGCAGAAGGAGCAGCGAGCGCCAAGTCCCTGGGGCAGCAGCCCACGGGGGATACTGGAGAGAGGGCTGGGGCTGAGGGAGCGGAGGACTCACGGGTAGGCCAGGGCCAGATTGCAGAGGGTGTTCAGAGACTAGTATGAGGAGCTTGGGTCTTGTCTTAAAGACAGTGGGAGCCATTGAAGGTTTTTAAGTAGGAGAGTGACATGATCCAACTTGCCCTTTCAAAAGATTCCTCTAGCTGCCACGTGGGTGGATTTTAGGAGCAGACAGAAGCGGGCAACTGTGAGAGTGGGGGGCCGTTGGAGGCATCTCGTGGGGGGATGATGGTAGCTCTGCCCAAGGTTCAAGCAGCGGCAGTGGAAAGAAGCGGCACTTGGAGACAGCAGACGTGGGGCTCGGTAACAGCTGGATGCAAGCAGGGAGAGGGATGTCTCTAGGGTGGATGGGGGTGGCAGGGGAGAGGTGGGTTTAGGGGAGCAGACGAGCAGCTGGCCGAGGCCCTGGCATGTCTTGCAGAAGTGGCAGTGTGTGGAGGACGCTACGGGGAAGCTGAAGCTGCATAAGTGCAAGGGCCCCGTGCAGCTGGGTAGCAGCAGAGCCCTCTCCAACCTCGTGCCCAAGTACTACGGGCAGGGCAGCGAGGCCTGCACCTGTGACAGCGGGGACTACAAGCTCAGCCTGGCCGGACGCCGGAAAAAGCTCTTCAAGAAGAGTAAGTGTCACAACCTGGCTGAGTGGGACAGCAGGAGAGAGAGACCATGCCTGGGGAGCCCATTCATTCACTCAGACGATTCCACAGAGACTGTCGCCTTGCCAGGTGGTGGTCTAGGGGCTGGGGACACGGCCACACCTCCTCACAAGCCATGAATTCTAGTGGGAAGCAGTAGGAATACACAGATAAGGCCAGGCATGGTGGCTCACACCTGTAATCCCAGTACCTTGGGAGTTCGAGGCGGGCAGATCACCTGAGGTCAGGAGCTCAAGACCAGCCTGGTCAACATGGTAAAACCCCAGCTAAAAATAAAAAAATTAGCCAGATGTGGTGGCTCATGCTTGTAATCCTAGCTACTTGGGAGGCTGAGACATGAGAATCGCTTGAACCCGGGAGGCACAGGCTGCAGTGATCTGAGATCGCGCCACTGCTCTCCAGCCTGGGCAACAGAGCAAGATCCATCTCAAAAGAGAAAAAAAAGGAAGAAACACACATACAAGGTTCTGTACTGATTGGCTGGTGAAAATGCTAGGACCAGAGGTTCGCAGGAACCCAGCTGTGCTCTTCCCCTAGGAGCCATGGTTCAATGTCCAGTTAGTCAGTATTTGTGGTGACTTTATAGAACTACTTGGGGCTGGGCGCGGTGGCTCACATCTGTAATCCCAGCACTTTGAGAGGCCGAGGTGGGCAGATCACTTGAGGTCCAGAGTTCAAGACCAGCCTGGCCAACATGGTGAAACCCCGTCTCTACTAAAAATACAAAAAATTAGTCGGGCATGATGGTGTGGGAGGCAGGAGAATCGCTTGAACCCGGGAGGCAGAGGTTGCACACAGCTGAGATCACACCATTGTGCTCCAGCCAGGGTGACAGAGTGAGACTCGGTCTCAAAAAAAAAAATTAAAAAGTAAAAAATAAACTACCCTGAAGAACAAGAATAGACTATACTTTAGTTGAGTGGGGAAAAGCCTCATCCAGCTAAAGAAGTGTCTACACCTTCATACCTCATGCTCAGCAGGGGCCAGGGAGAGGACAGGCAGGCGGAAGCCAGGGCGCAGGCGGAAGCCAGGGAGCAGGCGGAGGCCAGGGCGCAGGCGGAAGCCAGGGAGCAGGCGAAGTGGAGACGGGCTCTTCTAGACCCAGCCAGAAGGCCTGGCCGCCACCCTGGGCTATCACTTCACCATATCTGAGGCTCAGCTCCTACCATCAAATAGGAAGAATGGTCCCTGCCTGACTTTCAAACAGGAATGAGCCTGTGCCCTGAAAATGTGTGGAAGCGTCGGGGTCTGCCGGCTAGAAGTGTGCCCTCCAGAGCTGGGCAGCTTCCCACACAGCCCATTTCTCTGGCCTAAGGACAGCCAAAGTCTGATAGATTTCAGGTGTTGTTTTAAAAACAATTATGGCGAAATACACATAAAATTTATCATCTTAACCATTTTTAAGTATCCAGTTCAATAGTGTAAACTATATTCACACTACTGTGCAGCCTATCTGCTAAACAAACTTTTCATCTTGCAAAACTAAAATTGTCCCCATTCAATGTCGTCTCCACATTCTCCCACCCTGCTCCCACCCCGTTCTCGCCCCCGTTCTCCCCCCATTTTCCCACCCCGCTCTCACCCCGCTGTTACACCGTTCTCCCACCCCGTTCTCCTACCCCACCGTTATGCCATTCTCCCACCCCATTCTCCCACCCCGTTCTCCCACCCCGCTCCCACCCAGTCCTCCCACCCCGTTCTCCCACCCCGCTCCCACCCAGTCCTCCCACCCCGTTCTCCCACCCCGCTCCCACCCAGTCCTCCCACCCCATTCTCCCACCCCGCTCCCACCCAGTCCTCCCACCCCGTTCTCCCACCCCGCTCCCACCCAGTCCTCCCACCCCATTCTCCCACCCCGCTCCCACCCAGTCCTCCCACCCCGTTCTCCCACCCCACTCCCACCCAGTCCTCCCACCCCATTCTCCCACCCCGCTCCCACCCAGTCCTCCCACCCCGCTCCCACCCAGTCCTCCCACCCCGTTCTCCCACCCCGCTCCCACCCAGTCCTCCCACCCCATTCTCCCACCCCGCTCCCACCCAGTCCTCCCACCCCATTCTCCCACCCCGCTCCCACCCAGTCCTCCCACCCCGCTCCCACCCAGTCCTCCCACCCCGCTCCCACCCAGTCCTCCACCCCATTCTCCCACCCCGCTCCCACCCAGTCCTCCCACCCCGTTCTCCCACCCCGCTCCCACCCAGTCCTCCCACCCCATTCTCCCACCCCGCTCCCACCCAGTCCTCCCACCCCATTCTCCCACCCCGCTCCCACCCAGTCCTCCCACCCCATTCTCCCACCCCACTCTCCCTGTGTTCTCCCACCCCGCTCCCACCTGGTTGTCCCACCCCGTTCTCCCACCCTGTTCTCCCACCCTGCTCTCATCCCGTTCTCCCACCCACTCCCACCCTGTTCAACCACCCCCACTCCATTCTCCCACCGCGTTCTCCCATCCCGCTCTCCCACCCCGCTCTCCCCCCTTCTCCCACCCCATTCTCAGCAACCACTCTTCTACTTCTCTATGAGCTTGACTGCTCTAGGGGCCTCATGTAAGTGGAATTGTACAGTATTTGTCCTTCTGTGGCTGGCTTTTTTCTCTTCGCATAATGTTCTCCGGGTTCATCCACATGGTAGCCTGTGTCAGAATCTCCTTCCTGACCGGGCACAGTGGTTCACGCCTGTAATCCCAGCATCTTGGGAGGCCGAGGCAGGCAGGTTGCCTGAGCTCAGGAGTTCGAGATCAGTCTGGCCAACATGGTGAAACCCGTCTCTACTAAAAATAAAAAAATTAGCCAGTCATGGTGGTGGGCACCTGTAGTCCCTGCTACTCAGGAGGCTGAGGCACGAGAATGGCTTGAACCTGGGAACGGGAGGTTGCAGTAAAGTGAGATCACGCCGCTTCACTCCAGCCTGGGTGACAGAGCAAGACTCTGTCTCAAAAAAAAAAAAAAAAAGTCCTTTCTTTATAAGATGGATGATATTGTGCCACAGACTAATTAGAGATTGAGGATCGAGGTCTCCGACGGCAGGCGCGGTGGTCTCCTCTGGGCCATCCGGCCAGGCAGCAAATGTCCTCATCGTGGAGCAGATAAGTCTCTTTCCGTAACAGCCCAGCCACTGCCGCAAACAACGCTTCCCAGCTGATGATCCTCTGGTACCTTTCCTCACCAGCTGATTAGGAGCTACTGCATTAACTTTTCTAGCTGAATAGGATGATTGGTTTCCAGATTGGATTACACAGCCAGCATCTCCTTGCTTCAGTATGTGGCACAGTCGATAATCTTTAAATAATACAACATCTTGCAGGGAGAGATTCAGCTGTTTTCTCCCTTATTAATGCTTAGAGGAAAGAAAAATACCTAGAAGTAGCCGAGAGTCAGCTCAGCCCTGGTCAGAATCCTCATGTGAGTGTAATGTCAGAGCCGGGACCCGCGCCTCTCGGCGGCCCCGTGATCCTCACCTGTACAGAAAGGAGCAAGCCTTGTGACCAGCCAGAGAACAAGTGTGCTGAGGAGGAGGAAGATGAGGTACAAAGGCCCTGTACTCACAATGAGTGTGGGGGGGTCCCAGCCACAGAGAGGTGACCGGTGTGGCCAAGAGTGGTGAGAAGCACAGTGGGCACGGGCAGCCACATCACACAGGGGGTCACTGGCATGGAAAGGCAGGGAGCGGGCGTAATGGTGAGGTTTCAGGGCTGCGCGGCATCACCTTAGGTGAGGACGTCAGCTGCAGGCAGAGTCCCCACCCCCTGCAGTAGCTGGTCCACACCAGCTCATCAGGCATGAATGCTTCAGTAGTTCTGTTTCGTGCCATCCTCCAAGGGGCCCTTGTAGGGTAGGCACCATCCTAAGAAGTTACCCAAATCGCCGGGGCCACACATGTGCTCAGGGGTTTGCACCTCAGCCATCCGATTGCAGAGTCAAAGCTCTTGGCCACCGGCTTGTGAAGTCCTGTGCCATGCCCTGTTGGTGTGGCAGGAAGGGGACCTCCGGGACTCTGGACACGGACACTGAGAAACAGACCGGGAGAGCAGGTCATGTGGCTTCGGTACAGGAGAGGAATCACACAGGGCCGGCAGACCGCGGCTGTGAAGGGCCGGAGAGTAAAGGTCTGGGGCTTTGCGACTCAGCCCTGCGACTGCAGAGGTGTAAGTGAACGCGAGCCGCTGTACCCAGTGAAACTGTATTCGCAAAGACAGATGGAGGCTGGCCTGGGCCCTTAGGCCATGGTTTAGGGACCCCTGAGTCTAGAGCTGGGAGATGGAGGGTGGAAAGAGACAACGCCACTCACTCATAAGCCGACTGGGACTAAAGGAGTGAAGAGGACATGCTGGGTCCATTTCCTGAGCCTCTCGGGGCAGGACCTGCTCGGCACAGGGAGCATCCTCGGCTCTTTGTGTACACGCGTCGAGAGACTCAACCGAGGGAAGGAAGTGCCCAGGAGAAAGGCCCAAGGCTTTGCCGGAGAGGGGAGGCCTCCCCTCTCCCCTTAGGATCCTTCAGCCCTTGTGACTGTGATGCAAGGTGTCTGAGAATTAAAAGATACAAAACATCCCCCAAGAGTGGCCATGTGGGAAAGGGAGCCCTTTCCTTCCTTCTTCCACCGCCTTCCACCACCACCTGCCTCCAGCTGGTCCTCCTTGGTCACCATCTTGGGGTCACTTGGGATCCAACAAAACCTGGGCCACTAACTGGCTCCAGGCCCTTCTCTTTAAATGAGGCACATCTGGAGAAGAATGGCAACTGCAGTGCATGCATGCTGAGGCCAGACTTGTGTCAGGTGGGCAGAGATTTAAAACAGAAAGGAGTGACGGGGGCTCTGGCCAACAGGGACGACAGTGGGCAGCCAGAGGGGCCGCCGGTCTCCGGCCCGTCCCGACCATATGGAACTGTGGGCCTCTGAGACATGTCTCCTTTCCGGAAGCTGGAAATCTGGATCCCTACATCACCGCCACCACCTCCCTTTTTCTTTAATCTCACCAACTCAGATTTGGTTTTGAGACATAGAAGATACAGGCTACCTGGGGTGTCACTTCAGCCTGCACGCCTGAGTTTTCAGGGTCGGAGCGTATGCAAAAGCCCCTCTCGGCCTTGTCGCCGGCCCACCTGGATGTAGCACCTGCCTACCACCTGGTGGGCAGCCTCCAGCTCCCTGGGACTCACAGAAGCTAAGTGGCTTCCCCAGTCCCCGTCCATATATACCCAGAGACGGGCACTGCAGGGCCCCTGTTTCCCCTGTTTAAATCAGCGTTTTTATATCCATGATACTTTTTTCCTTTTTAATTGAGGTGAAGTTCAGATAACATAAAACTTACCATTTTTACAATTGTATACAATGCAGAGACATTTAATAGGTTCACAGTGTTGCACACCTCTACCTAGTTCCAAAACATCACCCCAAAAGGGAACCCCGTACCCACAAAGCAATCACTCCTCAACTGCCCTCTCCCCCAGCCTCTGGCAATCACCAATCTTCTTTCTGCTGCTGTAGATTTACCCATTCTGGGTAGTTCCTATAAAGAGAATGTAACAATATGAGCCCACTTTGTGTCTGGCTGCTTTCCCCAGCATGCTTTTGACATTCATCCGCGCTCTAGCGTGAATCAGAACCTCACTTCTGGTTCTGGTCGCATATTCCGTTGTACAGATGATGTACCGCCATTTGTTTACCCGCAAGCAGCTCTTGCTTGAAATCCTCTAGAGCCAGTGGCTTCTTGGCTCCAGGACTTCAGTTTTGCCAGCGTGATCGCCTTGAGGCCCTCCCCTGTGGTCCAGGATCTGCGAGCATGCGGTAGATTTCACAACCCCTCAGGTCACAGGCAAAGCTGAGCCTCATGCTTGGAAGCCCGGCCCTATCTTAATGAAGGACCCACTGCCCAGGGAGCCTGGCCAGCCTTTCCCGCCTCCCTAACTCCGCCACCCCTCTGATGCCCACAGAGTACAAGGCCAGCTACGCCCGCAATCGCTCCATCCGTTCAGTGGCCATCGAGGTGGACGGCAGGGTGTACCACGTAGGCCTGGGTGATGCTGCCCAGCCCCGAAACCTCACCAAGCGGCACTGGCCAGGGGCCCCTGAGGACCAAGATGACAAGGATGGAGGGGACTTCAGTGGCACCGGAGGCCTTCCTGACTACTCAGCTGCCAACCCCATTAAAGTGACACATCGGTGAGTGTCCAGGTGGAAGTCGAGGGTGAACGGGACAGGACAGACCTCGGCAGGGGCTTCCCACACCTCTTGAGCCCCTGGGCTGGGCCCCTTCCACCTCCTCTGAGCCACACGTGATCCCTTCTCTCAAGCAGGTGCTACATCCTAGAGAACGATACAGTCCAGTGTGACCTGGACCTGTACAAGTCCCTGCAGGCCTGGAAGGACCACAAGTTGCACATCGACCACGAGGTGAGTGGAGAGCGGGAGAGGAGCGTGCCGTCAGCCACCAACGGCCTGGCAGGACCCCCGGCTCATGGTGGGAGGGCAGTGAGGCCCGACCCAGGGAACGGGCTAGAGAGGTGAAGTGAGGTCCCCACAGATTCCTCCACCCAGGGATAGGCGTCAGTCCCAACATGAGACAGCTTGCTGCCCAGTCTGTCTGAGGGAGGATGGTTTAGCCACGTTGTCCCCCTTTTGACTTACAAGAAGTCTACACTATGATGAGGCCTTTCATCAAGCCCAGGGGAGACACTGGAGCCGCCCTCGGGGCTCAGCAGGTTCCTCCGCAGGCCAGGCCAGGAAAAGGACTCGGTTCCCTTGCAAGGGCCGGCCGGAGGGGAAGGTGGGCTTCCTTCAGCAGGCAGAACAAGTCCTCCCCACCCAAACATGCCGGTGCTGGCCCTGGGGCCCGGGCAGGGCAGGCTGCCGCTGCTGAGCAGACACGGCAGCGTGGGGGCGGTCACCAGGCCAAGCCTTTCTTGTCCAGCCGTAAAGGTTTCAAGGCCTCCTCTCCTGCCCCTCCCTCAGATTGAAACCCTGCAGAACAAAATTAAGAACCTGAGGGAAGTCCGAGGTCACCTGAAGAAAAAGCGGCCAGAAGAATGTGACTGTCACAAAATCAGGTGAGGCAGTAGCAAAGGGACCTAAGACCCCACCCTCCTACAGGACAGTTCAGTTCATTCCCTCTCGTGATTGACCCCTTTCATTTTTTTTTTTTTAATCTTTTTAAATCTTCTCCCCTCATGGCATAAAAAAAAAAAAAAATCCATAATTTACATCCCTATTGTCAGCCAGTGTGGCACACGGAACCGTTCCTCAGCCAGGCTGGCGCCCAGATTCCAGTACTGCTGGCAAGAGACCCGTGCTGGCTGTGCAGAGCCGGCTCCAGGCCGGAAACGTGCGTCTGCCGATTGCCCATTCAGAAAGCCCCCACGTGGTCTGAGGTCCATGTTCCCGGCTCAGGGATCCCCTGGCCCAAAGGACTGAACTCTGGAACAGCTGTGTCCAGTAGAACATTCTGTGCCGATGGACACGGGCTATGTCTGCACTATGCCACGCGTGGCTGGTGCACACTTGAAGTGGTGGCTGGTGTCACTAAGGAGCCGAATTTTTTATTTTGCTTAATTCAAACTGAAGTAGCCACCTGTGGCCAGTGGCTCCCGTACTGGGCAGCACAGCTGCAGAAGCCCTGCCGTCTCTCCAGAAAGTCTTGGAAAACACAGGCTCCCCTGTGCTGGCCCCGACCAAGTGTGAGCAGGCAGGGCGGTGAGGGAACCAACCTCACGATGCTGAGGCTTTGACATGTACAATTAACCATCACAAAAGGAAAGGAAAAAGGATGCTGAGGCTGACGCACCTAAAGCCAGGCCCAGTTTCTAGTCGTGGCTAAATTACAACTAACCCGACCTTCTAAAGTCTAGCAAAATCCCAGGAAGAGTCCTGGCTCATGCCTGGAGAATGAAGCCACCCAGGCAGGTACCTGCTGCCCTGGGGATAGGGTTGTACCCTCCCCACCACCATCCCAGAAGGAGGAACAGGGGAGTGGGGCAGCAGCAATACACGGGAGTCCCAGAAACCACAGTTTGTACCTGCCAGCGGAGCCCTCTGAGCCACTCCTGAAGCCTGGGGCTGGGGGGGTCTGTTACAGCTACCACACCCAGCACAAAGGCCGCCTCAAGCACAAAGGCTCCAGTCTGCATCCTTTCAGGTAAGGGCAGCTTGAGGTCCTGGGGAAGAGATGCAGAGGCCTAGCATGAGGAGGTGGCCCTCCCTTAAGCTAAAATACAGAAGAAAAGGAAAGAAGTCCAGGCCCTTCCCTGGGAAGTCCGCGGCGGCCCTCGAAGAGGCCTTACTTCCCAATCAACACTGTAAATGGGGTTGCGGCAACTCCACCAAGCAGGGCAGGACACAGGAAGGAGGGGAAAGGGATGCCAACAGGAGTCCCAGTAGCTGCCTGGCTCTGTCCCCAGCTCTGTGCCCCCTTGGGAGTTTAAGTAGAATGACAGAAGATCCAGGTTCTGGTCCCGGCTCTGCCTTGGATCAGCACTGGGACTTGGAACCCTGAATTGCTATGCCCATGGCTGTTGGAGAAGCCTCAGCCCAGCCCCTAGGTGGACAGGAAGAGCAGAGACACGGGGTCACTGATCCCTCAGAGGCCCAAGGCGTGTGTGGCCCTCTGCGCCCATAGGAAGGGTCTGCAAGAGAAGGACAAGGTGTGGCTGTTGCGGGAGCAGAAGCGCAAGAAGAAACTCCGCAAGCTGCTCAAGCGCCTGCAGAACAACGACACGTGCAGCATGCCAGGCCTCACGTGCTTCACCCACGACAACCAGCACTGGCAGACGGCGCCTTTCTGGACACGTGAGCGAGCCCAGGGCAGAGGTGGACAGGCTGGGGCCCGGGGGGCCAAGAAACTTCTCCACTTAAGTGACTCAGACCTCTCTCAGAAAGGGGGTCCCCGACACCAGGGGTCCACAGTGCTTGGGACAGCCTCTTGGCATTTGATGAACTGGTTTCGGGGGCTGTCCCTGACGGGAATCACTGTTGGCAGATGGGGCTTCCTCCTGCAGGCACTCAGGACATGCTCTCTCTTCCTTGCCAGTGGGGCCTTTCTGTGCCTGCACCAGCGCCAACAATAACACGTACTGGTGCATGAGGACCATCAACGAGACTCACAATTTCCTCTTCTGTGAATTTGCAACTGGCTTCCTAGAGTACTTTGATCTCAACACAGACCCCTACCAGGTACAGACAACCCGAGCTAGAGAGATGGGGGTATGGGTTACCCCAGTACTGCCAGGTAGCCCCCCCCCAACCTCAGGGAAGTCATGACAAATTATCCAAGTCCCACTGAGTCCCCGAGCCACTGGGAGTAAGTTGTGAAGCCGCTGAGATTGGGGGATTCCATGTTCAATCAGCCTTTTTTGCCTCCATCACCCTGCGTTTTGCCTCCATCACCCTGCGTGTGTAATATATGTGGCTTCTTCCCTCTAACTTAACATGCAGCATTCAACCAGGCTTTGCCGGAACTTGTGAAGACTCCTAAAACTGTCAAGCTGTAGGATCAAGCCAGATATTACCCACTGCAGGGCCTGCACGGACCACGCGGCTAATATAACAGTAACACTGCACCAAGCACTCTGCTAAGTGCTTCCGTACAGTAAGCCATCTAAACACGCACACGACTCATGTGGCTCAGGACCACATAAGACCAGAAGGAGCAGTGACATGTCTGGTCATCGGAACATGTGGGCCCTTGTACAGGGACAGTCACTGCTGAGCTCCAGCACTAGAGCTTTCCTGTCCTGTGGCCTTGGTATTGCCCAGGCTTTGACCTTTCAAGAAAAGCCTGAAATAATTTTTTAAATGAAATCTGATGTTTAAATATCAGCAGCACAAATGCTTTAATTACTATATAGGTGTCCAGTCTTTCTCCTTAGATAGGTTCACCCTCATACTTTACCAAAGGGGTAGGTAAGTCCGTCACCGGTAGCTCCCAGACTACACAAGAACCCAAGTCACTTACCCATCCTTCCATCAAATGGCTGCTTTGCAATCAGGAGGACTGCAAATCTGAATGAAGGCTGCTGATAAAACCAAGACTTGGAAGGCTTTCTTTCCGAGCTTGGGAAGTCTCCTGACTAGTGGCTGCAGAACTCCAACATTAAACACAGACAGACATGGTGTTTATTCTCCTGAGTTTTCATTCTCATTAAGAGAGAACCTGGTGGGACTCGAAGCCAAAAAGTCACCTAACTCTTCCAAATGCTGGCTCTTGCAGAAGTTGAAGTTGGAGTAAGCAGGTCACCAGCCCCTAGCACCTTCCACCTGCCTGAAATATGTCCCCTGGTTGGTAGAAGAAGGGCACGGGGAGAGTCCCTGTACTTACCTTGTTGACAGACTACCCTTTTTGCAACTAGCTGATGAACGCAGTGAACACACTGGACAGGGATGTCCTCAACCAGCTACATGTACAGCTCATGGAGCTGAGGAGCTGCAAGGGTTACAAGCAGTGTAACCCCCGGACTCGAAACATGGACCTGGGTGAGTAGGCACCGCAACATAGGGCCTTTGGAGAGCAGGGTAACCAAAGGAAGGGACTCAGGAGGTGGTGTCTACCCCAAGAATGAGCCCGAAATCACCAGGCTTTAGGAGGTGATGCAGTTCCAGACCAGTCATGGGAGCCCCTGTCCATAGCAGGCAGATGACCTTTGACAAGCTGTGCTTCCTGCATCAGCTGTCCAGGAAACACAGGGAATTCCCTCGTTTCATTTCCTCCCTTTTGTTCACTCATGCATTCAACAAACATTTCCTGAGAACTCAGACCTGAAACCATGTTGACCAAAGATGACCCCATCCTGGCTGACTTGTGTGGAGCCGGTGTTGTCCTAAGAAGAGCAGTCCACAGCGGGAGGCCTCTGGCTTGTATGGAAAGAGTAAAACTGGACGGTAGAATCCAGTGTGACTGGGGAAAGGCACCACTTAATAAAACCAGGGTCAGACCTCTGAACTGAGTCCTGAAGAGTAGGACGCAATCGACCACTGAGAAAACGTGGAGGGCTGGCGTTCCAGGAAACTTGAAGTGTGAGGAGCAGAAAGCAGCCTAGGTGGTACAGCCAGCACAACTGAGGCCAGTGGAGAGTGGCAGGAGGGCATCAGGCTACCCTGTGAGAGGCCATGGTAGAGTTTAGATTTCATTTGAGGTGTATCAGGAAGCCAATGGAGGGTTTTAACCTGGGCACTGACATTGCTAGGTGGAGAATGGGACTTTATGGGAGCAAACAGCGAAGATGGCACAGTTATCCAGGGAGAAATGATGGTGGCTTGGACTAGAGGTGGGAGCAGTGAAGGTGATGGATTTCAGATTCAGGTGGTGAAGCCCCCCAGTAGAATATGGTGATGGGAGGTGCAGGATTAGGAGTCCCAGGTAAATCCTGAGTTTTGTTTGGGACAGGACAAAATCTGCAGTTTTAAATCTAGAATGCCAACTAGATAGAAATTTTAAGATGAAAAAAGCTGACCAGGCATGGTGGCTCATGCCTATGATTCCAGGGCTTTGGGAGGCTGAGGTGGGAGGATACTTGAGCCCAGGCGGTCAAGGTTACAGTGAGCTATGATAGCGCCACTGCACTCCAGCCTGGGAGACAGAGCTGTCGCCCCATCTCTAAAAATAAAAGTAAAAAAAATTAAAAGAAAAATGAAGTTCACTTACTAGTGAGAGTGGCCTAAAACCTTTGATATTTGAAGTCCCTTGGGGAAGGGACTGTGTCTAGGAGGACGCCTGGAGTTCATGTCAGGAACATGACCACACAGCTTAGGAGGAAGAATTCAGATGCCACAGTCAGCTCTAGTTATGAAGAGGGGAGAGCTACTGTGTTTACAGAAGATGTTGCACTAATACTTCCTGGTGAGGAGCCTGATATGATTGGAATTTTCACTAGTGGCTTCCTAACCTCTGCCACTCAAGCGCTGCTACTCTTGTGATCAAAGTGCAATGACATGTAAGTCACTGTGTGCCAGGCTGTGTGCTGAGCGTTTTACATGTGTTAGCTGATAAGCTTTTGAGGTGAATCTTCTTATCCTCATTCTATGGAGGAGTAAAGTGAACAAGGTGGGCTGACCCCAGAGCCCACACACTCGATCCTGCCATGTCCTCAGGAAAACTTCCCCAGAGCCCACACCACCCTTCATTTGTTCTCATAATGAGGGTGGCGGGGAAGTACTAATGCACCTTTCCCTAAGAAAACACTTGAATCCATTTCGTGTTTTACATTAATGCCTTGTCCAGTACACTGCTGTTCTCGCTATAATCTGTGCTTGGTAAACATGAGCTATTGCTCCCTCCTGCACTTGGTCAGGGCTCTTGGCTTTCTGTCCTCTGGAGCACAGATGTTCAGGCCCGCGTCTACCTCCCTCACCATGACTAAGGTCAGCACTGAATGAAGCCATCAGGGTCCTGAAACTGATCGTGGTGACTCTGGATTTTAGGCAATCTACAAGGCTACCTAGGAGACTTAGGGCAGGTTCCCCTCATAATTCCGTCTACTCTTGAATAGGGAACACTATCAACATCATGGGATTGTGACAAAAAAGTGTAAGATGGTTTTCTGGTGTGTTGGGGTAGCTTTGCCTGAACTATCTGCTCCTGTTTTTATTATTTCTCCTTCATTTAGGACTTAAAGATGGAGGAAGCTATGAGCAATACAGGTATTTCTTTTTATTATTAAAGCCTAAACAAAGTTCTCCTATCTTGGCCCATCCTTCAGTCTCATCTCTGTGAGTCCGCACCTGTTATGTTGAGACACTGCCCTTCCTCTGGTCTGCCCGAGACCAGGATCACCCACTAAAGATAGCTGTCACCTAGGAGACCTTCTTTGTATAGTTCTTTGGGGACTTTTTCTTTCTTGGTGATGGTTAACATTCATTCTCCTTTTGACACTTGAAAACTTAGGCAGTTTCAGCGTCGAAAGTGGCCAGAAATGAAGAGACCTTCTTCCAAATCACTGTGAGTTGAGGAACCAGCTTACAAATAGAGATCTGGTTCTGACTGCTTCATTTTGCCAATGCTATTCTATTTGCATGCCATTTCTTACATACCATCCTTCATTTGTTCTCATAATGAGGGTGGCGGGGAAGTACTAATGCACATCTTTCCCTAAGAAAACACTTGAATCCATTTCATGTTTTACATTAATGCCTTGTCCAGTACACTGCTGTTCTCGCTATAATCTGTGCTTGGTAAACTTGAGCTATTACTTAAGAGGTTGAGAAGCATTTAAATACTACAAACTGCCAGGCATCTTGAAGGCTATGGCTGCAAAAGTGCTAACTGGTATACAACATCAGCAGTAGGATGGCCTCATTAAATGGTTTTCAAAAAGCCCATGCTACAGCTACAGACTCTCACTCCAGTGCCATTGGAGGCTGGCAGGGACTGAGACTGGCAACCTGGAAAGTTCACCTCTATTCTAAAGAGAGCAGGCCAGGGCTGAGGTTTGCCACATTTTCTAATTCACTGACCAAATCCAAAAATGCAGGTATGTGTGAGAATTCTTTATCATTATCATCTCATTTGACATTAAGTTAACCATGTGGGCAAACTACCCTCCTTGGTGAGCTGCCATTTGCAACCTCTGGTCTACTCATTTATTCCTTTATATGCATATAAACCTGAGTGGCTTTAATAGGACATTAGTAACAGGCCACCTAAGCCTTTCTTTGGTGCTTCTAGAATTAAGGTACAGAATCTTTACATATCACAATCTCCTTAGCCACTATTCTATCCAGATCCTTAAATGCCATCCTTGCCAGTCATTGAGTGTATAAGTAAACAACTAAAAATTGAGGTGACTAGGTGGTAGCAATCCCTTTCTAAGTAACCTAGAAATATTCATTCTCAGCAGCCTTGAAGCAAAGCTTCCTCAGCTATAGGACTGATTAGGAAGTCATGATAAAGACCGTGATAGCTAAATGCTAAGATGAGTTTGTTTCATTCTTTAGGGGACAACTGTGGGAAGGCTGGGAAGGTTAAGAAACAACAGAGGTGGACCTTCAAAAACACAGAGGCATCAACTGACCGCGCAGGCAACGAAAAACCACGTGGGTGATTTCCAGCAGACCTATGCTATTGGCCAGGAGGCCTGAGAAAGCAAGCACTCACTCTCAGTCAACATGGCAGATTCTGGAGGATAACCAGCAGGAGCAGAGAGAACTTCAAGAAGTCCATTTTTGCCCCTGCTTTTGCTTTGGATTATACCTCACCAGCTGCACAAAATGCATTTTTTTCGTATCAGAAAGTCACCACTAACCCTCCCCAGAAGCTCACAAAGGAAAACGAAGAGAGCGAGCGAGATTTCCTTGGAAATTTCCCCCAAGGGCGAAAGTCATTGGAATTTTTAAATCATAGGGGAAAAGCAGTAAAGCAGTCCTGTTCTAAATCCTCTTATTCTTTTGGTTTGTCACAAAGAAGGAACTAAGAAGACAGAGGCAACGTGGAGAGGCTGAAAACAGTGCAGAGAGTTCGACAATAAGTCAGTAGCACAAAAGAGATGACATTTACAGCACTCTAAACCCTGGTTGCCTCTGAAGAAACTGCCTTCACTGTATATATGTGACTATTTACATGTAACCAACATGGGAACTTTTAGGGGAACCTAATAAGAAATCCCAGTTTTCGGGAGTGGTGGTGTCAATAAACGCTCTGTGGCCAGTGTAAAAGAAAATCCCTCACAGTTGTGGACATTTCTGTTCCTGTCCAGATACCGTTTCTCCTAGTATTTCTTTGTTATGTCCCAGAACTGATTTTTTTTTTTTTTTTAAGGTACTGAAAAGAAGTTGATGTATGTCCCAAGTTTTGATGAAACTGTATTTGTAAAAAAAATTTTGTAGTATAAAAGTATTGTCATACAGTGTTCAAAACCCCAGCCAATGACCAGCAGTTGGTATGAAGAAACCTTTGACATTTTGTAAAAGGCCATTTCTTGGGAGTTTTTTGGTGTGTCTGTTTTTTTAAAATATTCAAGATACTACCAGTCAACATCTTTTTGGAAGAAAATGCCTTTGGGTTTAGAAGATTTTCTTAAAAGGGGAGTAGATGGTTGTAGATTGACTAAAGTCTACCATACTTCAAGGGACTACAGGTAAGTCTCATAGTGTACCAGCTTTGCTACTTCATTTTTTAAAAAAGTATTAATCAATTGCAAAGAAATTCACCTTGGCCAACTCTTCTTTGTATATCAGGTAATCTAACCTGATACAAGTAATTGACAGATTTCAGCTATCACCAATCCAACCCATTTCTCATTTAACAGATGACAGAGAGAATCCCTAAAGCACCCACATTTGTTTCAATGCCCCCAACAGGCCAAGGCTCTCTAGCAACTCCCTAGTGGCGTTTTTTAACTTCAGAAACTGTTACCATTATTTGAAATAGACTTTCTTAATCTTCTTTACCCTTAATCCAACAGGGATTTTAAAAAACAAAACAAAACAAAACAAAACTCTTTAGGCTCCAATTTTAAATAGAAACCTTTATTTACAATGACATCCAAAATGGTCAGCAAAGCAGTCACAGCTCACCATCCCCCATAAGTCATTTCATGTGGTTTCGATTCTTTGCAGGATAAAGAATAATTTCTATTTTTTTTTTTAAAGCAACACAATGTAAACTTGATTGAAACTGAATTCATTCTCAAGAGTGTAAGTCAATTCCTGAGAATTTAAATATTGCTCTCATATTTCATTCTTCAAAATTCCATACATTAGAAAGGAAGAGACAAAACACCTGCTCGTTTATTAACAGTGTGCCCCTGGAGTTGAAAACAATTCTTATTCCTCTGATTAAATCAGTCCTTGAAGTTTTGCTCCTATGAACCTAATTGTGAACAAAACTCACAGCTTCTGCAAATAAAAAGGGAACTGGGCAGGCATACATGTAACTGGCAATCCATTCTGTTTACTTTCAGCTGCACCTACCTCTGGATCAAAGAACTTCTAGGACATCAAGCCAATTATCTTCTGTAATACCCTACCCCTAATATAGATACCCCCAACTCACCTCAGATATTAAATACTGATAACTAAGTAGCACTGTTATTGATATTTACACCTTTCAATCCAGATGCAGTTTAGAAAAGTGGCATCATAATACGAACATTAACAATGTAACTTCCATTTATTTTTTAAAGGAAGAAACATGTATCTCCTTTATATCATTCTAATCTTTATAAAATATATATATTTTATTTATATATCTTTGGATTCAGCAAAAAAAAAAAAAAAAGTAGGTACTGGAAATATCCCACATTCTAAAAGCAGATGAAAAGATTATACTGTTCACCCAACAGATACCAAGGTTTGAAAAAATGGGGGGTGCTGGGGTGTGGAGAGGTAGACAGCAGGAGTACAAAGGAGTATCTAAAAAAGATAAAGGGCAATACAGGTAAAAACAAATTATCTCAAAGACTGCACCTATTAAAAGAAAATCAAAATCTTGAGTTTGCACCAAATGAACAAGTAGAAAATACAAAAACTTATAATAAACTTCATTTTTCTACCATATAAAAAAGGGAGTGCTGCCTTCCAGTTAGCCTGCAGCCAGGTCTGAGGAAAGGATTGCAAAAAAAATTTTTTTTTTTTTTAGTAATTTTTTTAAAGTCAAGAAAGGTAAGAGCACCATTCTGTTTCTCCCCACACACATCACTTAAAGAAAGTTCAGACACAGTTGAGCTGAAAAACACAGAGACAGACTGACTTGGTTGTACCTGTCTCCAAACAGGAGAGTATACTATCTGAAAAGCACAGGCCACTACAATGGAAGTTTCCAGATTTACAATCTTAAGATATATTTTGAAGTTGGTCAGGGGAAGAGGGCAAACTCCTAATTGTCTATACTGCTTTGAAAATAAGATCCACTCTAGTGGTGGATCTGGAAATAATCAGGATTCACTTGTAAGCATATCAAAGATATTAAATGATCTTACCTTCAGAGATATCTAGAAAGACTGACTAAATGTGTGAAATTCTTAAAATTACCTGGCTCTCAGTTATTGCTAGAAAATGACACCAAGGCTAGCAGAGACCTCTGAAATTCACAGACATTCAGAAACCCAATTCCTTCAACTATCTGAACCAAATGAAGTAACCCAGATAAAGGGAATTAAACTTCATGTTTCCCTTCCTCCCAACTAACTAAAACAGGTGTCAAAGAGAGGCAACAGCAGAAAGTGGCAGGGGGCAGAAAAGGGAGGGGTTTCAAAGGTGCTCAGTTAGACTGTGGCTCTGAATCACAGTCAAACTGGCTGTTCTGGGTACTGAGCTCCTTAAGAAGTAACAGTGACACTATTCTAATCCACAGGGACATAATGAAAGCATCACATTAGTATAATGAGGGGACAGCTGAGCAGACACCAGAAACCACACCAAGGATTCTACTCGAGATCAATGTGGGATTCAGGTCTTAGCAACCAAAATCTGAAAACGCTCCTAAAGGGGATGAAAAGGTAACATAATTGAACATACACACACACACACACACACACACACACACACAAAACTCATGAATTGCTATTATTTCGAACTGCTTAAAATCCAAAAGATTCTCTTCAATCAAATTGCTCGATTTTTTTAAATTCCTGATTTTTTTTTTTTAAGTTTATTTCCCCATATCTATTCTTTCCCCCCAAATTAACAAAGTGCTTAGTTCTGGTAGAGGAATTTTTAAAAAATTAAAATGCCTACATCTAAACAAATAATCTCTTTAAAAAGCATTTAGATTAAGAGATTGAAGAGCGAGGCATCTAAGGCTGGGGGGTGGGGAAGGAAAAGCTGTGGAGCACTACCCCTCCGCCAGGCCACGGAAGTCAAGGGATGTCTCTTCCACTGGTAGCCTCTCCACACACAGCTTACTGAAATCAACAATGTTAAATATTTAGCTTCACAAACTCTGTAAAAATGAGTTGTTGTGACCTACAAAAAAAGGTATATACATATTTTACATAATACAATATCTTAAAGGTCGTATTTACAAAAAAGTCTATTCACAGAAACACTGCGAGATTCTGATTCAGAATGCAGTACCTGGCCTTGGGTTTTCAGAAGTTTATTTTCAAAAAGCATTATTGCTCTACCATATAGGCAAAGGGTGACACCAGTACTTTAAAAAAAAAAAAAATCATAGTTCTTGTCCAACACGTAAGTGTAGGCAAAAACCAGGAATGTGTTTCACTATTCCCTCAAGACCTCAAGAATATTGCATTTATCCATTACTTTTTAAATAAAGTGCACTCAGCTGCACATTAGCATGTGAAAAGTTTGCTACTGCTGCAATTAAATACTGTCATCTCATTTCCCTTCTGCAAAGCCATTTGGACATCCATGACAGTTCCTGGAGGTGAAGTATTACAGGACATGAACGGCAAATGAAAACCTTCATTAGGAGAAAACCTAGGACAAATAATAGGGACAGAGCAACTCAACACCATCAGTAAAGGACAATTCAGAATCACCAATTCCACTGGACAGAGGGTCAATACAGAACTACTTGGTAGTGACAAAAACACCTGAGGGCTGGGACTATGCTCTTTGTCCAATACTGCAACTAGAGAAACCAGATGTTCTAATCTCTCTTGATTTGTCCAATGTTCTCTGGCCCACCTATGTGTATTTAAGAGACTTTGGCTAGCAAGGCAGAAAAAAGTGACACAAAAGTTTTATGATCAGTAGGACTCCATATCTCCAGAATTATATCCCTAGGAGGTGGAATGCCAAAAAATATTTCTGTTTTGAATACCATGATACACAGCAGGAGGAGAGGAGAAAAAAAACAGGTAGATACTGCCGTTTGGCTTAAAATCCAGTCCTTCTCAAATGACATCACTTAAAATACCCTTGACGGAGCTCAAAGCTGGTCCTTTCTTCAAAGATAGATGCCTGGAACAATGATTCCTTCCCAATAATCCTAGTGCAGTGTCATTTGTACAGTGGTTTCCTTAAGAGGTCCTGGTGCAGAGATGTCAGCAGTATTTCTGTTAGCAACCAGAAAAACTGAGTAAAACACATGCTTTACACAACAAAAAAATCCATGCCCACATTCATGGCTTACAGTGCAGCTCTGGCTGAGTGATTCAGGTTCCTGAGATCCCATCTTACAATGCAGCTTGACTTACCAAAAGTATCCAATGGCCCAATGCCTTCAAACCAAGTTTTTTCAATTACTATATTTTAAGTTATACATTCAAGTTAAAATATACCTAGGACATTCTGATTATAGCTGAGGCTCTAGTTCTATCCAGAGAACAAGAAAAACTTTTTGAAAAAGGTAAGGAATCAATTTCATACCTGATCAGGGCCCATAGGCATGCCAGACATGGGCATGGGGTTCATGTTCATCTGTCCCATGTGACCACTGCTGCCATTCATGTGTACCATACTATACACTGCAGGATTCCCCTGGTGGGCAAACTGCTGCTGGGAAAAGGAGCTGTAAGTAAAGAAATGGTAATATTACCTCTGGAAGTCACTTTAGTGACAAAGGGCATGCCCACAGAAACGACTACAATTGTGTCAAACATTGCTATACTTAAGCTGGGAATGTCAGAGAGAAAACTCCCTGACAGCCTGTGATCCATTTTTCACAGCTTTCTGTACTAGATACCCTAATAGATAATGTGCATGCTTGAAGAACTCTCAAAATGGACAAGCCAAATAACACACCTTCTAATATGAACCCAGTCCTTTCAATCTCTCCATACAAAAAGGCTTGACTGAAAATTACAGTAAGTTCTTGGACTTCTGGGACTAAGATGTGACTAACTTTAGAAGTCACTGTTCTTTACCTGTTCCTGGCCAAATTTCCTGATGGCCAGCCCTTCATTTCTGAGGACTGATAGATGGATGCAGCCTGGGGGTGTTGCATCATGGGATTCTGGGAGGGACCCATTCTTGACGATATCATTGCACTGGGAGGACTAGACACTCGACCAAAGGC